TGGCTTCCTGCTCTTGTCAGCATTACCCCAATCTAGTGTCTTCACCCTGGCAACAGCAATTCATTCCAGTAGCAGCAGCAGAATCCAGTCTGAATAATTCTGCAACACTTGGAGAATAGCCACTCTATGCTTCCTCAAAGACCTCTGCACCTGTGAGCCCATATCCCTGTCTCAGAGATTTGGGTGTCAGCACCACAAGTTCTCCTCGTGGACTCAGACACAGCAGCATCATCTGATCAGATTCTTCTATACGTAATTTCAGCTCTGGTAGGCTCTTGTTCTGCAGCAATTTTTGAGATCCCAAACCTTCCCTTGTTTCCCCAGCACAGAGGTGGTAGCAGCTTCAAGTTCCTAACTCCTTTATACCATAATGTTGTCTTTTTGTGTTTTCAGTTCTTTAATACCTAGTTAACAAGTTTCTCTATGCAGTTACACCTGTTAAACATAAGTAGTGTAATTTCTGTTTTCATGACCTAAACAAGCAGCATGGTGTTAACAGAAACAGCTGAGTGCTCTCTGCAGGTGTGTTCAGCTGCAGCTGGAATGCTTTGGGGAGCAGGAGAGGGAAAACAGAATAATCCAGAGATGTCCCAAATAAACTATTAGGGAAGAAAAAACTGATCAACTAGTTTGATTTTCAGTTATATGGACACTGCTGTATGACTGTCAATATGAGAAATACACCTACCATTATTTTTTTCTTTTTTTTGAGATGGAGTCTCTCTGTGTCACCAAGGCTGGAGAGCAGCAGTATGATCTCAGCTCACTGCAACCTCTGCCTCCTGGGTTCAAGTGATTCTCCTGCCTCAGCCTCCCAAGTAGCTGGGATTACAGGTGCCCACCAGCACATCTGGCTAATTTTTGTATTTTTAGTAGAAACGGGGTTTCACCATGTTGGCCAGGCTGGTCTTGAACTCCTGACCTCAGATGATTCACCTACCTCAGGTGATCCACCTGCCTCAGCCTCCCAAAATGTTGGGATCAGGCGTAAGCCACCATGCCTGGCCCCATTATTGTTAATGGTTACTGTTAAATGTTACTAGTAGCTAATATTGATTAAGCACTAAAAAATATACCAGGCATAATGCTGATCATTATACATATGTTACCTCATTTAATTCCCGGAATGATTTCATAAGTTACGAATTAATTTCATGTTCATCTAACAGATGAGATATAACAGATTTTGTGATGTTAACTAACTTGCCCAAGTTGGTACCTCCACTAAAACAGAGAAAAAAAAAACCCCACAAATTGCAAGAAGACTGTAACTTATGAGAAATGACTGTGGATTAGCAGTGACTCTGAAGGCTATGTATCTTGTCCAGCCTCTCCATTCTGTTTTTGTTTCATGGTATTCTATGTTTATAGGGAACTAGTGACAGATGCTTACGTTTTTCTTAGCCAAGTGCCAAAAATGGAAAATAAACTAATGAGAGCACAGACTGCTCAGTCTGTTAACAATACAACCATACTGATCTATTGTGCACTTATATGCCAAACATATTGTACACAAAGCAAATAAATGATTTTGAAAATTGTTCATATTTAAGCTTTCTTGCTTAGTAGAGAGTTATCTGAAAGCTACAGTCTCTCTAATTATTTGACTAAGGTACTTGTTCTTTGGCAAGTAAGATGAATCTATCTATCATCTATCTATCTTATCTGTCTATCAGTCAATCATCTATATCTATCATCTATTTAATGATTTTATTGAGCTATCATTTCTAAATAGTAACATGGAGATTCAGTCTTCTTTTTAAAGATGAGAAAACTAAAAACCTGACTTGCCTAAAGTTACAAGGCTAGTTACCATGTCAGAGGCTTTCAAACCAGAGAGAGTCCATCTTGAGTAAGGGCAAGGAAAAATGAGCCTGGGACTTGCTGGACTGCATTCCCAGGCGGTAGGTATTCCTAGCTTCTAGATGTTTAAGGTTAAGGGAACAGATGAATAATGTTTACTAAACAGACCCAGGCCCAGGAATGTCCTGATATCTCCATACCTTGAGAACACAAAAGCATTCCTAATTTTGCTTTAAAGGTCGATTCTTGCAAAATACAATAATTAGAAAAATTAATCCTTTATAACAAACCCTTGTGGGAGAGTACATCTGCCCATGTTTTTTTTTGTTGTTTGTTTTTGGTTTTTGTTGAAGTTGTTATGTATCAACAAGCATTGTACCTAGGGTGGGTGCGTTCCTCCTCTTACTTTCAGGAATACCCTACTCTGTCTATGGAGTAGCTATTCGTTCACCACCTTACTTTCTTAATAAGCTTTCTTTTGCTTTGCACTGTGGACTTGCCCTGAATTCTTTCTTGCAAGACCCAAGAACCCTCTCTTAGGGTCTGAATTGGGACCCCTTTCCAGTAACAACCAGAACATGGGTCTCTTACCATGTAGAATAAAACGCTATGTTAGGTGAAAATTCTTTGAATGTGGGTAAGGAAGTCACATGATAGAAAATAAAAGGTGCTAAAATGGCTTTATATTGACAGAGTATAAGACAATGTATATTTATTGAAAACTTTACTCGTAGCAAGTGAAACAAAAGCTATAGTAGAAAATGTCTTTAAACTTGTCAAAAACTAAAATTTTCAAATAGCATAAAAACAGTCTAGATATCCTTTTTAATAGCAAATGGGATTATTTTAATACTGCCAGTTGTTTGCGTCACTTTTAGAATAAGTTATTGCAAGCTTCTTAATATTTAAAATAAAATATATTTTATAGAACTTATAAAATGCCTTGAGAAAATTATTTTTAAAAATTAATTTTTGTCAAAAAGGATAACTAGTAAAATAAGTTGCTTAATTCATTAGTTCAAGCATAGTAGCAATGAAGGTATAGTTGTGGTCTGATTCCCAGGTAGGAATCAGCATAGCTCCATAGACTGATATTGTCCTCCCCATTGTGCATATTCACACAGTTGGTTATTGAATCTAATTGGATGCCTAGATTATGATTGTAGTTCTGTCACTAATTAGCTGGGTGGCCTTGGGAAAATGACTATGTCTCTAAATCTAAGGAGATGAATTAATAACAGAGTATCCACTATGTGTGAGGTTTACTGAGAGTCCCCAAGAATACAAAGATAAGCAAAACTGAACATTGTTTGGGTGGGAGAAGGAAGGAAGACATGAATCAAACACTGCAGAAAGAAATACAGCAATAGAAATTAGGAGAGGTACTGTGAAGTAACAGTGCTGGGTGCTGAGAAGAGGGGAACAGAAGAACCTAATTTAGTGTTTGAGGGAAGTTCCTGTTGACATCTGAAGGATGAAGTCAAGTGAACCAGATGGTGGAGGGAGGTGTGAGGAGATGGCACAACACAGAGAAAGGAACAGGAAGAAACATGGTGTTTTTGTGAAACTTACAAAGGGCTCTAGAGGCTGGAGCAGAGAGAATAAGACCCTTTCAAGGATCACAGTTTCTTTCTCTTTAAAACATCTATTGAAAACTTTCTTCTAAGTTTGCATTTTTAAACAATACCTAAGCGTTTTTTGTTTGTTTGCGTAATACTTATAATTAAAGGCTTAAAGTATATTTACCTCATTTATTTGATCTGATTTTCTATAATAGTTGATCCCTGTCTCTGATATGCATACATTTCAGTTACTAATATTAAATTACACCAGTTCTCCAACAACACAAATTTTAGTTACTACAACATATAAACGGTAAGTGATTTAATAAAGCCCAAACTTTGCTTCTAGCTTTTCCACAAATAAATGCATAAATAATAAATGCATCGTAATCACAGTGATCACTAATCATATTACTTCTTTCAAAGTCTGTCAGTGATCTTTTGCTGTTCATTGGTTATTCACTTCACTTACTTGTTTCAGATCATCAGTTGTAATTCTTCCTTGTCTCTCAGTGATAAAACATGTGGCATTTTACAAAATTGAATAATCAAAAGAAATAATTGGTCGACAAAGATGAAAATGCAGCAAAGAATTGAAGAAGACTGATAATACTAGACAGGAATCTCAAATGTAACTGAAATTACAGAAGAAATAGCTCACTACAGGAATGTTGATACTCTTCCACTTAAGCGAATCTGGGTATGGAGCCAGAGGAACTTAGTAAAGGCAAACTTATCGACATAAGTGAGGAAAGTGGATGTGATGTGTTGAAACAGATAAAGCTATAGAGAGGAAGTGACCCTGGCAAAAGAACCACATATTGAAAGAACTCTCAAAGATAGCTCACAACATCGATAGAATGTCACAGCTGATTCAACCTTAGAAGGGAATATCCAACAAGGCATAAAACGGATGCCTATTCCATATCCTGTCCTGAGTTAGGAAATGAGAAGGCATGCACTGTTTCAACTCCTTTTGATAAATGTTCTTTACAAAGAATTAAAACACCTTAATTCTTAATATTTTTATTGTTTTAAATTATGGCATACTAAATCAATTAACTTTACTATAGTTTCCTATTATAGAGAAGAGAATACAAGTTGCTAATGTTTTGACGACAATTTTTAAGGTCATGAGACAATCCTGTTTTTTCTTCATTGCATGATTTCATATGGCATGGTCACCTTTGTGGCCTCCTACTCATGCAAAGCAGGAACAATCTGTACATTTTACAGACTCTAACCAATATAGTATGTTCGGTGTTTTATTATGTACCTTAGAAGGTTGGAGTCATTTTTCTGAGTTTTCAAACTCTTGATATTGAAGGATTCTAAATCAACAACTCACTTGGAAAATAACATTAGCTAGTTAAATCTTTAGGATTTTATCTAAATATTAGACACCAAATTTTAAGTTTGAGCACCCTGAAAGTCCTAAAATTCCAAGATCTGCTGTACTGCAGTAAGTAATAATGAAAATAGAAAAACCTGTATATTTTGCTGGGATTTAGTATTTATTTTTAACTAGAAAAATATTATGTTAAATACTGTACTCAAGAGCACCCATGAACAAAATGCACAAAATGGCTAAAATAATTTAAATTATAGGAAAACAAGGATGAAAAATTTACATACCGATTGTAGAAATCATCTCTGTAGTAATCATAGTCAAAGACATAACCACTAAGGAGTGAAACAAAAAAATTAGTTGGCATTTGTTTCAATGACATTAATTTTATTAACTTATGATGTTATAGCATAAAGTTTATGTTACTTTAAAAGTACTTATTTTGCAATTTAATTATGTTTCCAAAGGACCTTCCAATATAATTTCCAATTTGCTATTATGTCATGCCAAATTATTGTTATATGTTTGACAGTGCAGAGACTGATAATGGTTAGTGTGGTTTGGAATGAAGATGAGAACAGGTAGTAAAATACTTTAAAACGTGTAATTAGGTATCAATGAAGACCATATTTTTTCATCTCAGATGAGATATAATATAGTTGTCCCTTCTTTCTGAGGTAATATAATGATCTCTTCTTCCTAAGGTATGTACAGTGAGGCTACATCATGAACAAAAAGTTTTGAAATAAGATAAATGGAAAGGTTTGGTAATGCATTCCTTAAAGAAATGGTAAACAGAAATGTGGTTCCTTGGAAATTCAGCATTGTTTAATTCTAAAAACTATGGATTTAGAAAAAATTAAAAAAAATCTGTGGTTGTCTTACCAACAATACCTTAATATTTTAGTGTATTTAAATATGAATTAATAAATGCATTTTAGTGTTGAGTATTATAACTAAGTTCCCTAAAGGAATACATTTTAAGAAGTCACCTCCATCCACTTGCCTTGTTTGAATTTATGAAGCACTTTATATGCATTATAATTATAGTCATCAACTCTGTTGGACAGCATAACTTGAAGAAACTAAGGTGCAGTAGACCTAAGTGACTTGCTCAAATTTGCATTCCTACTAGGTGACAGAATTGAGATTTACAGGAAAGTTTTCTGACTTCACATTCGAGGCCATTTTCACAACACCCCACAGCACTCCGCAATCTGGAAGTCTCAATGTGATGATGAATGGAGTAACTGTACCACAGGGAGTAATTTAAAAAAAAAGTTTACTTATTAGTTTACTTGTTATTGTAGCAAAACATATATAATTCCACATTTACTATTCTAATCATTTTAAAGTGTATGATTCAATGGCATTAAATACATTCACAAAACTGTGCAAACATTGCCGCTATTCATGTCAACAACTTTATCATCAACCTAACAGAAACTCGGTACTCATTAAACAATAACTCCTCATTTCTGCCTCTCCAGCCTCTGTCATTAATAATGCATGACTGTGTATGTATAGTCATATAATCATATAGTCATAGATTATTTGTTCTTTTATGTTTGGTTTATTTAACTTAGCATATTTTCAAAGTTCATGTTATAGTATGTATTGAATTTCATTCCTTTTTAAGAATGAACAATCTTCCATTGGGGTGAGATATATTTGTGTGTGTGTGTGTGTATATACATATATACACCTAAAATATTTAAAAGTATATGTCACCCCAATAGAATATTATTAAAATATATGTAAATATTATCTATTTATCATCTATGTCACTCCTATAAATATATATGTATACTGACACACACATCACTTTTTCTTTACCCATTCATCTGTTGATAGACGGTTGGCTGTTTCCACATCTATTATGAAGAGAGTGGAAATTCTATGAGTACTGGTGTGAAAGTGTCCAAGTCTCTGATTTCATCTCTTTTGGGTATATACCTAGAAGTGGAATTGCTAGGTCATATGGTAATTCTGTTTAACTTTTTGAGAAACTCGTATATGACAGAGGAATAATTTTATATTTTCAAATAAATGTAACAAATCCTTACTTTAGTTACTTTGTAACTATTCTTATGTTAAAAAACTGAAGTAACATTAAGATGGGCTTGTTATTTTGGTTTTAAGGATAAATGTATTTATATCTTCTCTCCTCATGCTTTTACATAGAGGAGGAAAAAAGCCTGATGTGGCATACCTAATCCATGAAGGTAAAGTCTGCCTCCAGTTCTGTCAAATGGAACACATGGTGTTTGGGTTCAGGTGTTGAAATATAAAGTGAGAACCTACGCCATGTGAGCATCTGGATGGAAGACTGAGCATTGTATGGCTAGAGCATTGCTGTATCCATCTGTGCAAACCCAGAGGACAATGAGACCAATGCCTAACGAGTAAGAACAAAATGGTCACTTTTGTCTGACAGTCATAGATTATTAAAATAATAATGTTTTTTGCTTTAGTTTATATTAATAGCAAAGACACAACTGTGACATTGAGTTGAGGGATGCCAAAGCCATCCTATTGGCTACCATCAAACCCTAAGGTATAAATGTCACCTCAGGAGATTCAGAACAAGAGGGCTAACTAGATGAAGCCGGAAAGTGCCCCTCTCACCAAGAGCCACCAAAATGTGAACTAAACCTGCATACTTAGAACAGATCTTTTGAGAGAAAAACGGAGTCGACAGAGAGGTGACACAGTCATTGAGGCTGAAGATGGAGGAAGCTAGGGTCCCTGCATGGGGATGCCAAGTGCTAGAACTAATTCCCAGACCTGAACAGCTATTAAGGAAGGGTGAGTGAAGTTACTGTGGGGCAATCCGCCTTTGCCACAGACCTCTGGGATCCTAGCCACAAGGGATGCCCTGATCCCCACAGACACTTGAATTGGCAGGGGAATCTGCTCAGAGAATAGAGAAGGGTGGAGCTCCAGACTGTGCAGAGCCCAAGGGATTTTGCTTGTGGGGCAGCTGCAGCAAAACGTGGCCATGGGTGCCCATCTCCCAAGACCTTCCACTAAACTACTACATGAAGTAATTAGAAAACTCCAAATAACAATCTAATACAGTATCTGGAGGAATTAGAAAAACAAGAGCAAATTAACCCAAAGTTGGTAGAAGAAAAGAAATAGCCAAAAGTGTAGCAGAACTTAATGAAACCAAGATGCAAAAATCTACACAAAAGATCAATAAAACCAAAAGTTGTCTCTTTGAATAAATAAAAAAGATACATAGACTAACTAGATGAACAAAAAGATATCTAAGCATAAATAGAGGTGACAAAGATGACATTACAACCGATCTCACAGAAATACAAAAGATCCTCAGAAACTAGTTTGAACACCCCTATGCACACAAAATAGAAAATCTAGAGAAAATGGATAAATTCCTTGAAACACACAACTTCTCATAGTTGAGACAGGAAGAAACTGAAAACCTGAACAGACCAATAACAAGTTCGGAAATGGGATCTATAATATAAACCTATCAACCAGTAAAAGCTCATGATCAGATGTATTCACAGCTGAATTCTACCAGACAAAGAAGAATTGTTACCAATCCTACTGAAATTATTCCAAAAAAAATGAAGGAGAGACTTCTCTCACACTATGAAACCAGCATCATCCTAACACCAAAATTTGGCAAAGAAATATAAAAATCAGTTACCAATAACGTTTAAACTGAGAGCCAAATCAAGAATGCAATCCCAGTCGTAATAGTCACACACAAAAATAAAATACCTAGGAATAGATTTAACCAAGGAGGTTAAATATCTCTACAAGGCGAACTACAAAACACTGCTCAAAGAAATCATAAGAAAAAATATGAAAAACACTCCTTGATCATGGATTGGAAGAATCAGTATTATTAAATGGCCATACTACCCCATGTAATTTACATAGGCAATACTATTCCTATCAAACTACCAACATCATTTTTTAAGGAACTAGAAAAAACTATTGAAAATTCATATGGAACAACAACAACAAAAGAGCCTGAATAGCCAAAGTAATACTAAGCAAAAAGAACAAAGCAAAAGGCACCACATTACCCCACTGCAAACTATCCTACCAGGCAACAGTAACCAAAAACCATGGTCCTGGTAACAAAAATAGACAATAGGCCAATGGAACAGAATAGAGAACCCAGAAATAAAGCCATACACCTACAGCCATCTGATCTTCGAAAAAGTCAACAGAACTAAGCAATAAGGAAAGGACTCCCTAGTCAATAAATGGTTCTGTGATAGCTAATGGATATGCAGAAGAATGAAGCTAGACCCTGACCTTTCACCATACTAAAAAATTAACTCAGGATGGACTGAACATTTAAATGTAAGACTGCAAAATATGAAAATCTTAGATGAAAACCTAGGAAATAACCTATTTGATATTGGCTAAGTTTTCAAAAGCAATTCCAACAAAATACAAAATTGACAAGTGGGACCTAATTAAACTCAAGATCTTCTGCACTGCAAAACTATGAAGGAAGTGAACAGATAGCCTGCAGAATGGGAGAAAATATTCACAAACTGTGCATCTGATGAAGGTCTAATATCTAGAATCTCTAAGAAACTTAAATTATCAAGGAAAAAAAACATTAAAAAGCCAAAAGACATGAATAGATACTTCTTAAAAGAAGACATACAAGCTGACAACAAACATATGAATAAATGGTCATCATTACTAATCATTAGAGAAATGAAATTAAAACCACAATCTTACACCAGTCAGAATGGCTTTTGTTAAAAAAATAAAAAAATAGATGAAGAGGATGCAAAGAAAAGGGAATGGTTGCTAATTCCCATAAATATATTTGAACATTTACTGTGTAGCAGAAATGGTGCTAGACATTTTGATGCATTCAATAGCTATTGAGGGAACAATCATTTTCATAGAATAAAAGTTCTCAGTATTTTCAGATGTAATCAAATAAGCTCACAAAGGAAATATGTGACTAAATTGTTTTTTGCAGTTTTTTTCAGAGACTCTTTTTTTGTGCTGTAATCTTAGAAATTAAATTAATTAATTTCAATTAATTTCAGTTAATTGAAAGAAGAAAATATGAATCACTGATCAATTATACAGGTGTCATTAATATAGATGACAGTAATGATTTCCACTCACATGTCTTATGTCTTTAGTAAATACTTCAATAATTTAAAAGCCTTCTGGAAATTTAAAAGTATACAAGAAAAGAGAATTCATTTTTATTTTTCTCAGTTGCTGCTTAAATTGTCTTGTCCAACCTGCTTATTTTTTTGTTGAATCCTGACTGCTAAGGTGTATTTACAAGAACCAGTTATAGCTAAGTATTCTGAAT